ACCTCAAGATCATCATCACTGAAGCTCTGTTTTGTTCACTGAATTGTTGATCCAGAGGCTTGTGTAATCTGTTTAGGTCTTCATTATCTCAAAAATATTGTTGCTTAGGCTCAGTTTGGTGTCAGAACCAAGAGTTAAGTTCAAAGTGTCTAAAAGCAGCAAGAGCTGTTGGAGTAGCTGATGCCTTTTCCTCACTTGTATCTTAGCATGTGGTCATCTCAGTGATGGCTCCAATTGAGACAATGGAACTGAGCATTCCTCCTGCCCAAGGAAGTCAGTGGCTCTGAGCTGCCCGTCAATCAGCTGCATGTGGAGCTGCACAGGCATGGAATGTATCATGCTCAGAGTCAAAGGATCTCCATTTGAAAAGATCAGTATTTAGAGTAATTTGGATAATATACTGTAAAAATGTTACAATCAGCATTAGCTGCAATTATGTACGTGCTACAGAATTACCATTTTTATGCTGGATTAAATAAATTTATACACATCTAATCTTGGGAGCTAAGAATTTTAGAGTGACTAGGACTTGGAGGCTGGTAGTCCTGGGTTAAATTTGCACCCACTGAGAAGCTGAAGTGAAATATTTGAAGAATATTAGATTGCAGAAGCAGAAGGAAAGACAGCGTTCACACATATTAATATCGTAGAACCAAGCATGAATAAAACACTGATAAAGGCAAGAGTAAAGCAGCCAATTGCTGAGGATTTACACTTTATTCTGACAGTTTTTTAATTCTTACATTTTTTGAGATTGAAAAACTGTATTCCCAGTAATCCCTTTTATCAAAGTTAGAATACAGGATTGTAGCAGATGGCTTTAGGCCATTCCTTCAATTTTAGGGACAGTTTTGGTTTTTGCGTCTCAATTTTATTGCATTGGATTTTGTCCATTTGCAATCTAATAATTACTGGCAACTGAAACACATCAGCAAGGTAACATACCTCACTGAGCTGAGAAGATCTGAAATGCTGAGGTAGAAGAATATCAAAATGTCAATATGCTGCAGTTACAAGCAGCTGTGAAAAGAGTCAGATATAATGACTTTTGCTCACCTTCGAGGATAAAATTGGCAGGTATATAATTTTGTCTTTAACTCTGGTAAAAGGTGCTTATGGAAGGCTTAATTTAACAGTCTGGTTTTTCTAATAAAGTGTGAGATAGTATTCTCTCTTTAGGTGATCATGTTTTTGTGGGAAAAGGTAGTATTCACGCTGCCCTGGATTAACAGGCATGTCCTATGTAAAACACGTATAATGTTGAGAAGAGCACTTGGTTATAGTAAGTATTTAAGATCATAGAATGAGTTCCAGGAAAAGCAGCAGGGGTGATCGTAGTCTTTAGCATTAGGTAGAAGATGTAAAGAAAGGCCTTGTTTAGCCTGGCAAAGGAAAAGGGAAGACATAGCCATATTCTGACAGCTCACATTCCCTATTAGAAATAAAATCCAAATCTAAGGATCAGTGGTCATTGGAGTGAGTGCGTTGCTTGGGGAGCCTCTGTCTTCAGAAGAGTTAAGAAGAGCTCAGGCAATTCTCAAGAATGGGTTACAGACAGTGGGTCTTGTCTTGGGGCTAGGGGACAGACTGTTGTCCCTCAGTGTCCCTTCAGATTCTGGTATCAGTTGGTCTAGTGAAACTGTACCAGCCTGAATCACCTTGTTGTAACCATGGGTATAGTTTTGCAGATTTTCTCTACTGACATAATACAAGACTAGTTAGTCCCAGCTATTTTTCACTCAGATTTTCTTGAAATCCTTGCTTTTTTTTTACATAGCAGTTGATAGCCTCTCCAGAACCTCCTTTGAAGTCCAAAATCATTCTATACATTTGACAAAACCCAACTTTAGTTCCACGAACAGGGTAAGCATGTAAGCCTGTTCTTCAAATACCTACTGTTTTTGTAGTGTCTGTATTTGCAAAGCACTAGGAAAGCTTATTCCTGGAAACACTCATATTCTCTTCCGTGCTTTTATGTTAGTGGTTGGGCAGATGAATTACAGGAGAGGTTACTTTAAACAAGAATTATACATCTCCAAGATGGTAATGCCTCCTTGTACCACAGCATTTTTTAAAGTGGAGCTTGGGCACAGTGAATATTTGTGTATTTAATATGGTTTATGGGCAATTACTGTATCATTGTAAATGACCTAGCAATGTAGATGTAAGAGCTTTGTCAATGACACCAGGGAAGAACTAGTCCAAAGTGAAAGAACAACTTATTTAAAAAAAAAAAAATCCAAACCTGAAATTCCTATTAATGGATGTAAGTGCCAGTCGTGTTGCTCTATAGCTTTACTTTAACTGGTTTATGCTGCTTGTTTCTGTCAGGTATAGCCACAGCACTGAATTCTTTGTTGTAGCTTCTTGTCTAGTCCTTTATACATTTTAATGAGCTAGTTTCACATTTCAATACATTAGCTTATCTGAGGCTGCTTCTTATTTTGCATCTCCTCAGAACAATTAAGATCTACTGGCAGACTTACTGTAGGTTTCTAAATTTCAAAGCTCCAGGATTAGTGTTGGTGTTTTAGACTTGGAACTTGCTGTCTTCAGAATTCTGTTAGGGATATGAGAATTTTAAGCTTCAAAGCACAATGCGATTCCCTTCTTCTTCTGTAAGTTCTTATCTGGTTTTCTCTCTTTGTCTCCTTTTTAGGGAGAATTTTGCATTTTGTTTTAAATTTGGTTTACCTTTTTTTTGTCCAGATACATTGCTGCTGTATGAGTGGCAACATGTACTTTTAACAACAATATAAACAGATAAATATAACAACATTTTGTATCAAAAGGCCAAAATTACAGTACAAACTAATCCTGCACTTTAGCTGTTGCATACATGAAAGGTTCTATGAAATCTCAAAAAAAAATCTGCTCAGAGGAAGTTTTCTCTATAATGGACAAATGAATAAGAGTGGAGAAGAATAATCTCTCCTTGAAGATCTTTCTTGGGGGTAAAAAGAGAGGCATTTCGCACTGCAATGTTAACAAAAAAGAACAAAACCTATTTCTATGAAGAAACAGCCTGCTTAGACACCTTCTTTTCTCCCAGTACACCAGTGTGTATTTTCTTCACTGTATAAAATGTCCTGGCTTCATCTGGGATGGAGTCAACTTTCTTCATAGTAGCTAGTGTGAGGCTATGAGGATTTTAGCTGAGAAGGCTGATAACATACTGATGTTTATAGTTACTGCCAGGACAGTCAAGGATTTTTTCAGTTTCTCTGCTGTGCCAGTGTCTGCATGTGCAGGAGAGGCTGGGAGGGAGCACAGCCCCAGTTACTAGCCCAGGATTTGACCTTAGGTTTAGGACTGAGACCCAAATTGGTCAAATAGTCTATTCCATATCATGCACATGTCATGCCCAACATATAGATGAGGATCTGTCTGGAAGTTGGGGCTTGGGGTTGCCACTCTCTGTTGGCTCTCTTGGACTCTTAGGCCCTTATCTCTTTTCTGAGTTCGCCGTTTCAGGACTCTCCCTGCTCCAGGATTGTTAGCCAGGAACAGGCTGAGCCTTGGTCATCAGGTGGTGAGCAGTCGCACTGTGTATCACTCCTTTGTATTTATGTAAATGTGTCTATATTACTATTATTATTAATATTTTTCATTTTATTGTAGTTTAGTTATTAAATTGTTCTTATCTCAACCAATGAGTCTCTTTTCCCTTTACCCCTTTAATTCTTTCCCCCATCCCTGGGGGGTGGGAGGGTGAGCAAGCGGTTGTTGTGGTATTTGGTTGCTGATAGCTTGGTCGAACAACATAAAATAACTTGAGGCTTCTTCGTAGTGCTCATACTGCACAGACTAGAAGTGATGTTTTTCAGGCTTTTAGGTAGCAACATCAGCCTAAAGAAAATGTGCCACTTCATCCCTATCCTAACTCCAGTCCACACACAAATTTTGAAGTTAAAGTTCAAGCTTGAGCTCGCTTGCCTGGCTGAAATAGGTTGTTTGACAATAAAGCTATAAACACTGTAGAGATGAGTTATCTACCAATTACAACAGCTTATCAACACTAATCCAATTAGTCTGCATGGCTTCACTAGTGCATGGCTCTCTTAGTCCTCTCCGGCTCAAGGTAGGCAGTAATTCATATGCACTGATATAGTTAACACTTGCAGGAAAGACAAGCTCTACAAATTCTCCTAGAGGAGCATGAGTAAATCACTAAATATCCCACGAGTAATTTAGATGCTATGATCACTGGTGCAGGCAGTATGTAATCACATTTTATTGACAACTCCTAAAGATCAGTCTTCCTTTGAAGCTGCCTAGAGTGAAACTGAATAGAGTGTAGCTGGAGGGCCTAACGCAACGTAAAGTGACGAGCCTTGACCCAGTACCAAACGTGCTGCTTTGGGTCAGGCAAGAACTCTCAGCCTTTTAGCATAGTGCTCTGCATTGCCCTGCACTCACTGCTGTGAATTCACACCATATCCTTAGAGACAACCGTTTGTAGAGACTGTAGCAGTTTGCTTAGACAGAACCATGACTCTTAGCACATCTGAGAACTTCAGGTAGTATGTTTTTGGACGAGAAAGGCAAAGGCTGTGTAAGTGGTCTAGTAATAGAAAACTTGTAAATACAGTTTCTGTATAAAAAAACCCATTGGACCTTAAACCCCTCATGTTTTGAAATTCATGTTTGATCACTTCAATAGTCTCATCAATTCATTTTTTAAAATGCTGTGCTTCCTTGGACACAGGCTTGAGGAGACATGTTTCTTCTCAGAGTATGTTATCGCAGCTTTATAAACACCTGAATTGAATACAATACTGGAAAAACACTGACAAGAGTCTTAAAAACAGGCTGCTATTAGATACCACCCAACAACCCACGAAGCAGTTCCACTTGTCACACTATATCGGTTCTCTTCTCAATTATACTTGGCTAAAACTGATATAAATTCTTTAAATGTGTTAAAACATAAAGTGAATTATTGGATGTGTGCTTTGTGTACTGGTATCAATAATAATTTTATATTCTCTTTCTTGCAGGAGGTGAGGTCACAAAGCCCAGATTTGCTCAGTATTTCCATGGCAGCCTGGCCAGTCTCACTATCCGTCCAGGGAAAATTGAGAGTCAGAAAGTGATTTCCTGTTTGCAGGCTTGCAAGGAAGGTCTGGATATTAATTCTCTTGAGAGTCTTGGCCAAGGAATAAAGGTGAGAGATGAACTGACATCATCTTTGATAAAATTTAGAGCTGATTTATGAAGTGGAGAGCCCAAGGTAGAGTACACACAGTACAAATGCACTCCCAGAAGCGATGTAATTTCACATAAAGTCATGCAAAGAAAAAGCAGAACAGTAGAAGAGCTGTGACACTGCTAAGAAAAATGTTTCCATTATTGCAAAGCTAGATCCTCAGAAAGTAAGGTGCTGCTGATATTTCAGAGCCGGTAAGAATTGCCAGGTTGTGTTCTCATGCTTATGCTGGTAGTTTTACAGAAATAGACATGATTCCAAAGAATTATTTTGATCTCAAGTAGCTTTAGAGCAATGGAAAACATAAGTGGAATATCATTCCTCTAAAGGCAACTCTGAAAGAAGTCCCAATGCAATTGTATTGAAAAATTCAAAGTGTATTCCAAGAGGAAAATGTTATGGGACGTGAAAATTTGATAATAAAAAACCCTAAAGTCAAGAAATTAAAATTTTACATTTGCATATCAATCATTATCCATCTTTATTATGCACATGACTATCTTTACTGGTATTGTAACACTTAGTTTCTAAGATTGGAGAAGAACAGACAGAGGGAAATGCTGCTTCAATTAACATAGTGGCCAGATTGCCTTGCATTCTATAAGACAAATTCTGTTCTTCTGGATACATATGTACGCTCTTGACTATAACTTCTATAACGCTTACATGAGATGGATTTTCAGTTTCCCTTTACCAATACCATTATTAGATGAGAAGTCCTCTTCTGCCTACTGCGTAAACACACTGTTAAGCTATTTCCTAGCACACAAATCACAATACCAAAGGAGCTTCCAAAGGAGCTGAGCTTCACATTCAAACTGGGAAGATACTTGGCTGCAGACTGTGCATCCTATGAGACTGCAGAGGTGTTTTTCAGTGTGTTGTTTTTCAGTGGAGAGGAGGATGGTGCTGTGACACTCGATCTAGGGTTTGCAGTGGAAGTGTCGTGTACTACATTTTATTAGCTAAACCTTTTAATTGTACAAGATCAGAAACTGACCTGAAATACACTCAAATATCTGTCTAGGTGATAAGTTGCAGTGGTGTAGTGTAACTGATACATTTTCCGAAAACAAGGGTAAAAATGAAAATTGAAAGTGCAAAGGTTAGGAGTTTTGCAAGCTCTAGCTTTTACATATGAGCAAAACACCCCAAAGATACTTTTTTTTTTGCTTCATCCTACCAGGAACATCATTAAGAATTTCACATTGTTGCTTCTTCCATCAAAATTATACACTTATGAGTAAAACCTATTTTTAAAAGACAATGCATACAAAGACCAGGTAGGGTTTTCGGGGACAAAACTGTATATGCCTACCAGTAAGTTCTTTGCTGGGATTTTACATGAAAGTGTATACTTGGTCTATGGTGCTTAAAATTGTAGTAATTCCTCCCCTCTTGTCACACTCTGAAACTAGACAATATTTGAGTGGTCTTGTTTCATGGACTTCGAAAAATCCCTGTTGTACCAGGCACTGCTGCTCCATCATAGGTGTTTGGCTTCATTACTGTACAAGCAGTGCAGCGGGAAAATCAAGATGAAGGATTGTTTTCTGTCTTTTCTTTCACCAAACTTCCAAACATTTTAGTTTTCCAAAATACAAATAAGGCATTGTATTTTTCTTAAGGTTACTATTTTCATTTTTACTTCATCAGCAAGCTCAACAGTTAGTGCAACAGCAGGAGGCAAAAATGAGAGGAGCAGTCAGAGAGAGATTATGGTAGAGTTTCTTATTGGGGCTGACAGAAGGAAGCTCGGATGAAAGCAGAACAGTTGGCACTTGACCTTGAACAGAAGATTAATAAAGAAAAAGGGTTTCTGGTGTCAAAAATAAACATACCTGACCTCAGACAAGCATGTGCAACAGTTGCACAGAGGATGGGTTTTCTGTGGCTGTTTCCATGGCGCTTAGCAGATTCAGTGTTGGCAGGCTGCTGTTGGAAGGTGTTTCTGCTGGGCACTTCGGACTCGTGAAGCTTCACCCCTTAGCCACCTAAGAAAGAGCAATGCAGGAGTAATAGTTTCTGATACTGTAGTGTTGGATTTTTTTTTTTGTCTGCAGCCTAATTTGCAGATATCTGTAACAACTCTCAGAAACATTGTCTGAACTCTTGCTATTTTTAGCCTTTTTTAATGAGAGAAACAAAAATGGCTCAGAGGAGGGCTTTCTTCAGTCCCCTTGGCAGCATTCCAGCTGTTCTGGCAGCTGAGCTATTAAGTTAACTAGCTAGCTAGAGTCTCCTTTTGCAAATTTTTTTCTCTACTACTGCTAGCTTACAGAAAGGAAAAAGAAGTGTATGCAGGTTGTGACTCATGTTAGCCCTCCTCTTTGTTAAAAAATACCCTTCAGTGTGTTATGACCTTCCTGCACAAGCTTTATACCTGGTCCTCTGTGTTCTGTTTGACAGAGAACCCTGTGCTTCATTCTGTTCTTCAGTCTATTTGCTCTTTTGTGTTTTAACCTATCTCATTGTAAGGAAGTGTAGACAACCATTGTCTGTATATAGTAGAACATGTTCATGTAATCAGTATCCAGCTTTGGGAGGGGACTGCATGTGAGAGAAGGGTGCATTTCTTTGTGTTTTGTGCTGACAACAGTAGGGTAAAAAAATCAAGAGTGTTAATCAGGTTTTCTCTGCGATGCAGATGGTTTGCTGAACCAATTAACAGACAAAAAAATGGAATCAGGATGAATTATGATGAAGATAAAAATCAGTCATTTGTGATGGGGATATAGTAGCAAAGTTTCTTGGTCAGCAAGACTGTTTCCTGTTCAATGCAATGGACTAGACAAAGATGAGGGCTACAAGAATAGCCGTTGACTTTGCAAGGTTTGTTGTCTCAAGTGAGCAGCTTGCTTTGTGCAAGTAGCAGCTCCATCCTAAATCATGACACTCTTATTGATCGGGAGACAGAGACAGGAGAATGCCCTTTATTGTGTCTGATGTTAATGAAGTTGTAGGAGGGAAATGTTATAATTATTTTGTTCATTCGTGTTGAAATATGTCTTGGAAAAATAGACCAGGGTAAAACCAAACAGAAAGCAGGAAAAATATACTTTTGCATGCTGCTGTGATTTAAGCCAATATTTTTCTATGGGGGATGTGTTTAACCTAAAAAAATTACATAGTAATAATAATGGTGACAGTAAGTTAAGGTTTTGAAGTCTACGTAGTATCAGCAAAGTTGATAAGGCTGGGCAAAGTACAGCAAATCGGGATTAGTTTACTACAAAAATAATTACAAGAATAGTTATTCAGATATGAAATAGGTGACTGATGCGAGTACATGTGTTAGGGAACAACACAGATTCAACCAACAATAGCTACTAATAATTTTTTTTGTTAAATCATTAAAGTTTAAACTTACATCTGTGCAACATTCCTTAAAAATGTCTTATTTTGTACTCTGTACCTGTTACCGTAAATACTAATTATATGCATTTCCCTCAGTATCACTTCAACCCTTCCCAGTCAGTCCTTGTTATGGAAGGAGATGACATAGAGAATATAAATCAAGCTCTCAGAAAGGTCTCATACATCAACTCCAGACAGTTTCCTACCGCAGGCGTACGACGTCTCAAAGTCTCATCTAAAGTCCAGTAAGTTATATTTCAGCTGAACTGATTAGATTAGGAATATTTTTTTAATGAATTACTTTTTTCTTTGGACATGTGAAAAAGAATAATTCTGGCTAAATTACATCACTAAAGCATACTTTTATGTAATTGAGCATAAAGGATGGATTTCATTTACTTTTATGCTGATTTGCTTTCGATATTATCCTTTGAAGAAACTTTTCTTGTTAATGTAATTTACGTGCATTCTGTTTGTAGGCTGTAGGAGCATACAGTCTGGACTGAACATCACTTGCATTTATTGCATTATTTTACTGTTTATTTTTTAAAGTTATAGTTTCTTCTGAGATAGCTAGAGCCATGACTTTTTAAAGCAAGCCTATTACATCTAACAGATGACATCGGCAAGAACAGTATTTATAGCTACGCTTGAAGTAATCTTTCTCTGTATCCATATATGGCTCTCATGACTGAGGTACTTGGTGTTGGGTGTTAACAGAAATCCACGTCCTTCCATTTTCATGTAACAATAGTGGCAGAACCTGCACAACAATGTTTACAGTCCTACATAATCAAAGAGCCATCTGCCACGCCTGAGCTCCCCCGGGGGTCTCTGTTACAGCAAGTTGTGCAGTGAAAGCTGATCTTTAGAGTGAAAGTAAACTCCAGTTCTCCGAACTCTCAGTTCTTACTCAGTACAGGGTGCTGTGGGTTTACTCAGTACCCTAGTGCTGTGGGCTGACCACACCAAGTATGGAGAGCTTCTTCTGATGGGCGTTCACTGGAAGCACTCCAGGTCGCACGCTCCAAGGCTGACCCAAGCCTCGTGCAAATGTGAAGGTAGAGTTTGTCAGGACATTCACTTCCAAAGCACAGTGCTGATTCAGATGAAAATGCTAATATGTGCCCCTTTTGTCCTCAGTAAATACGGGGGTGTACCAGAGTGAGTTCGTGATGGGTCCAGTTTAAATGGATAATTAGACCCTTTTATTCACACATGATAAGATAACAATATTATGTTCATTAGATATCGCTTTGAGAATTTAATGTTAGGTTTACTGAAGTTAGTTGTTATCTTATTTTTTTTAACCATTCACTACTTTGTTGAAAGTCAGTTAAACATCAAAATATCATTCTCATAGTGACCTTACTAAAGACTGAACTTGTCATGAATCTGTTTGCTAAGCTGTCCCTACATAATTTCTGCAGTTGTGAATGTAGGAGAGGATGAGAGGAACAGCGCTGTTACTGTCACTGCTGGCCGATGTACCTGGCGGTACAGCTGCATGTCCTTATGTGTGGCCGTGTCACAGTCTGGAATAGACTGATCTGAGACGGTACAAAAGGATGAGAGCCATCAGGGGGGTTTTGGGCAGTGCGAGTGCCACACACCTCTGATGTGCAATGTGCTACATGCAGTTAACAAACAATATATTTTTCAGATGTTTTGGTGAAGATGTCTGCATTAGTATCCCAGATATAGATGCGTACGTAATGGTGTTTCAGGCCAATGAGCCCAAGATTACAATAAGTGGGATGGATCACTTTGCTAGACCAGCTGCACAGTTTGAAAGTGAAAGAGGTGTTATTTTGTTACCTGACATCAGGATTGTCAGCACAGTCACTAAAATGGAGCATCCAGTGGATTTAAAAGAACATGGCAGAGGTTTGTGGATTTCTTTTAAATATTGCTTACTCTGTAACATGACCCCTCACATTTTTTGAAGGATAATGCAAACAAGTAACACAAAGGAAGTCACCACCTAGATTAATTTAGGCAATGTTAGACAGCAGTAATGCTGTACTGAAGACACTCAAACACATGGAAAAAAAAAATGTGTTAAATAGTGACAGATCAGTATGTGCTTCCAAAAAAACAGCTTTTCCATTTAGTGTCTTGCCTACTTCAGAATAATTCATTTCCACTCTTCTTTACATATTTGGTTGAATAACATATTTTCATTAGAATCTCTCAATTTGTAACAGGATTTTGTTAATTGTACTGATGAAGTGGAAAACAGCAATTGACTAATAGTTGGAGTTTTAGTCTGTTCTTATGTTTCCAGCTCTGCTACTGACTTGTGGGTGATACTTGAGAAAGTAATTTTGTGCCTCAGTTTCCCACCTATGTATTGTAAATATAACATTTGCAAAGATTTTTTTTTTAACGATGACAGTTCATTCTAATGCTGAACAGTGTGTGTATTATTTGACACTAGGTGAATGTTCAAAAATATAAATATGGTTTAAAATAATTCTCTATAAAGGTATCTTCATTTTGTATGATTGTGTGCAAGGTAAATGAAAAGCCTAGTAGTCTGAGGAATCATTCTAAACAATATTTGTTGGACCAGAATAAGCAGCAACAAGATGTACATCTCTTGAGAAGATAAAATCTCTAATGATGTGCAAGTGTAGGGGCATGGATTCTCTGAAGCCTTCTCTGAAGAAGGCTGAAAAGTGGGAAGGCTGAAAAATATCATAATATCAACTGTATACAATTACAGTATGTAAAAAAAAAAGAATTCTTGCATAGGAAAGAGTCCATCACTTAAGACAAAATGGATGTATGATGCTCCACATCCCTAAATGTTATGATATCTTCAGAACTGTTCAGTGAATTAGGAACTGTTGCTCTCCAATTTAGTTCATAACTTTTGTCTATCTCAATTTTTCCCAGTACAATTATTGACATAATGCTGTTGTAACACCTTGTAACCTTAGAAGCCCGAGTCTCACCTTGAAAATGAACATGGCAGCATTTCTTAAACTACCTAATTCCTTGAAAGTCAGGCACCTCCTAATGTGCCATCTCTTGTTTATTTCCACCAAGAGTGGTTAAAATGGATAGATAATAATTGGCTTTGGGAATAACTGTGTTTTGCAAAAGATTATTGGATTCTAAGTCTCAATTTCTGCATTGTAAGCTTCCATCATTATTTCTCTCAGCCCAGATATTGTCTGACAAAGGCAAAGACAGCCATAAATCTTGACCTATAGCTACCTATAGCTATTTTTGGTCTTATGGGAAATTTATGTAACCTGGTCATTGTGACCGTAGCAGAGACACACATGGCAAGGCTGAGGAGCCTGATTTAGTCACCCTGTATTCCCCAGACACAAGACCAGTTAGGTCTGTCTCATCAAAAGCCGATCAGGCTGTTGTCACCGGCAGCAGCATGGCCATAGCTCTGAGGCCTTAACCAATACAGTATTGAAAACCAGAACTGTTTACATGGATTTATTTCCAGGTTCAAATTTCAGTTTTCTACTTCCAGTACTGTTCTTTAATGCCTTTTATTACAGAGCAATGTATTTTCTGTCTATTTCACTGGGTATTTGTAGGCCTTCATCATCATAGGACCTGAACAAGCAAGACACTTCTCTTGATTTGCTTCAAGTATGGTGTATTTAATATCAGCAAAAAGCAATTCAGCCATTTTAGCAAAAATTGAAAGCCCTGATGCAAAGCACATAAAATGACCAAGCTGTTCTGTGATAATTTATCTGAATTTCTTTCTTCTTTTTTTCATGGTGTATGCCATGCCTTCACAGGCAATCAGCCAGTGGTATTAGAGGAAATGCTCCACAACTTGGATTTCTGTGATATTTTGGTCATTGGTGCAGAACTAGATCCTGAACAAGAGTGTTTAGAACTAGATTATGTGGAGCTTCAAGGAAAACATCTAGATGCCACAAATTCCACAGCAGGATATTCAATCTATGGTATGTTCATGGACTTTGCTTTCCTTTATTTCTTCCCACCAACAATTACATTATTAGAATGAAAGGACTAATTTGAAATAAATTAGACAGAAATCTGTGATGTACTGCCCATAAAATGTTCCAGGAAAGACTGTGTCTCAAAAAGCATAGTCAATTTTTGATGTCTGGGTGTGCTGTGTTTATCATTTGGAATACAGCACAGCTTTGTCTTGATCCCAGCATCCCTCCTGCTACTCCCAAATAAGGAAAATAGCAACACTACTTTCTTTAGATATGGGGGTTCTTGTGGACCGTCACAGCGCAACATGGGAACGAGGGGATTCCTCAGTGCTCCTGCACAGTATTGGTAACTCTTTGACTAATTTTTTTTTGTTACTAAAGAATTTATTCTGAATCTTTGCTGTTATATTTGTTGCTCCTCCATTATGGACCTACATTAATTTCCAAAAACTATTCTCACATAATTTAGTATGAGCCAGAGGCTCCAGCAGGGAATATTTGATGCACTGCCATTTTCAGATCATTCTGCCAAATTTTGTATTTTCTGTGAATATTCGATTTCTCCTGTACTGCACAGAGCATTTGTAACATAGTGTCTCCTTGAGATTATTACTGCTCTACCACCATTCCAGGTGTGGACAGCATTCACAGCTATGAGCAGGTTCTTCGGCAGATTCGATATCGTAACTGGTACACTTCTGCCACCTTTGACAGAAAGTTCAGAGTCAAGTGCTCAGAGCTAAATGGACGTTACACCAGCAATGAATTTAACTTGGAGGTAAGCAATCATTTAGTCAAGTTTTCTTTTCCAGCACTGAGGTTGAGCGCTAGCCTTATCTTCAGCAACATTGAGTTTTCTTTAAAATATGTAAAATGACACATTTTGTCACATTTTGGTAACTCTAATCTAGTGGAAGAAAAATTCAAAGTTCCACACAAACAGGAAGCTGACTTCTTCTGTGGGCATTCCTCAATGTAGATGTGTCTATTCCCCTGCATATGTAAGAAAATGACCCTTCTCTTGAACTCCACTAACACAGAGTATTACTTCTGTTCAAACAGAATGGAGGCTAAGGTCATCATCACTGTTTTATCATGATGAAAAATCTCCTACGTGTCTTTTTGAAGATGTACACACCTGCCCAAAAGTAAATAATTGCCTCATTATTTTTGTTAGATTAGTTATTTTTTTAACTTAAGGTGACATACTTTTCTTTCCTGCAGCACTCACCTTTTCAGTTTTTCCAAGCACTTCCTCCTTACAATAAGTTTTATAATTTGTTCTTCATCAGATGGAGATCATTCCTGGTAATTTACATGATTTCAGATTTCTTTGAGAAGGAAAGTCAGTACACAGGTAACGAGCGGATAGGATGGACTTAATCTGTCATGTTCTTTTGCATCCACTACCCAGACATGGTTAAGCGACCACTGAATATTTAGATAGCTCTAATTGAGCTTATGTGTGCCAGTACTCCAGCACGAAGTCCAGTGCAGCACAATGGCTCAGGGACTGAGAATTACTGCTCATGCATCTCAGAAGGAATTGTGGACCTCTTCTGAGGAACCAACTTATCCAGCCTAGAATCCAGGTGCCAAGTAACTACAGGAACGGGACAGGACCTTCTTAGCAATAGGCTCAAAAGTCTGAAAGTTTTTACGTGTTTATGTTGTATTGAAAATTCTTTTCACTTGAGCATTCTGCAGCCCTGACAATGACTTCAGGGCTTTTGCTTATAACGTAACAATCAGTAGGACAGAGAACTGATTGTATCTTCAAAGAAAGTCACTCTGAAAGTAGGGACACAGGAAAAACTGAAGCCTCTTTTAATTCTTTACTGTTTTGGTTTTAATCTCAACAAGTTTGATACATTCTCTGTCAATATTAAGAGTGACAAATCTCCCACTAACTGTCAGGAAACACTTGAAAACTCATTAGTATAGAGAAAAAAAGTCACTACTTATCCAGACAGGTAAATCAAAAAAATTATTTTCTGTGCCACTTCATAGTCTACAGATAGAAATGTTAGAATGCATTTTTATTGCTAGAAATGAGAAATATATTTACCTGTGTATTTTTCGCTGGCATAAAACAGTTGATTTGGCCTTTAAAAATCTATATCATAATGTTTCTATCTGCTGCTGAACTTCATAGTTCATTGTAATGTATGGAGCCAGCAGGCTTGGAACATAGACCACTTTTTAGTATCTGATCTCTTATTTTTCTCTTGTGCCAGGTTAATATTCTACACAGCTCCAACTCCAACTTCATGGACCATGTAAATCATATGATGGTACAACCACAATTTCTCCAATCTGTCCACCACTCAGAGGGAACCACAAGGGCTGTTCACAACTCAGGTATGTCACGACTTTACAGAGACTGCACATAATGATTCTGGTACGTCGGCATTTCGCTTGTGATTCAGCATGGTCAACAAAAAAAGCTCTGAAGTCCATAGTTACAGGTTGTGAAACCTCACAGAGATCATTGCACAGGTATGAAAGGAAGTAACATTGAATTATCTTTCTTTCCAATAAGGTACTTTCTAATTAAAAACTGGTATCCTTTTCTAAAATCTTCATTAAAGGTTATGTACTCTGAAAATAGTTAAGAAAATGTCTTGTTTCTAGTACTGAAAGGTACGAAGGATAGTATTTATGCTCATATTGTCTTTGTACATCTGTATTTCTATGGCATATTAATTCCTGCCCACCCCTTTCCAAGCAAAAGGAAGAAATGTTTGTATTATTTTTTAAAAAATATATAATTGCTGCAGTGCTCTTGTTAGCTGCTGTCCCGGCCTCAGTCTGGAGCTCTCTGGAGAGAAGATAGGTCCACCTAGCCATGTGCAGGGGGCATTAATATAAATTAAATACAGAATTTAAATTGAATTTTTTGGACTATATGAGTTAAAATAAATACCCAACTCCAAAATCCTTTTAGCTGAATGATACATATGTAAAGAGGTAAAGCTGATATAAAGCGTAGGTAGTTATAAGTAGTTATATACAGTTCTGCTTAGGGAATTACTGTATTTTTCTGTACAGGCATTTTACTAAAAACAGAATTTTTACAAAATGAGTTATTGCCAACTAGTTCTTTCTTCTTTAATATTGTTCTGATTTCAGACTTCCATTGTCACAGGCAAGGCAAGGTGATAAAATGGGGCACAGAACTACTACAGGTCCTGGAATTGCAGTACCTAGGTAGCAAAGGTGCATAGAAAGTGGCAGCACTACTCCACTGGCCTAATTACAGAGCTGATAACATAAGAGTAGTTCGGAGAGATCTCTTCTTGTGAGTAGGTGGAGACAGAGGTTTCTCAAAGGTCTCCCAGAAAGGTTGTAACACAGGCAAATAGAGTGGAATTGTGTTATTTTATTTCCTGGAGACTGAGATTGAAATCGTAGCATAAGTGTTTGAAACCTTGGAAAATACAAGCTTTGAGATATACTTTTTCTCTGAGTGAGGTTAACGCCTCAGCTCAGGAGGAGACAACATGCAGATAACAACCTTATTGCAAAAACATTTGTTCTGGAACAAATTTACTTTGCACTGATTGACTTCTTGTTTTCTGTCATAAAGGGGCTTAAAGAACAAATGGCAGGCATACTCACTTTTTAGTTATAATTTATAACGCTTATTATAAGGTATCCGTAAATGCTGTTTGTGTATGCTCTGCCTTGGTAGGTGGGCGCTTGTCAACATTTTCTGTAGTCCCAGGCAGGTGGCTGTGCTGATTCTCAATCCAAAGGAAGACGTGCTGAAGGGAAAAAAATAGACAATGTATTTAGTGTTTTGCAGGCAATTTGTTCCACAGATGTAAGCCCGTTCCCTTTTCCACATTCTGTTCCAGTTGTTCCCAGTCTGGCTACCATCGTTATCATAATCTGTGCGAGCATACTCATTTTCATCATAACCTTGGGGGTCTATCGAATTCGGACAGCTCACCAGCACTGCTCTGCAGACGGTGAAGGAAGTAAAGAAAATGAAATGGATTGGGATGATTCTGCTCTGACTATTACTGTCAACCCCATGGAGGTACGTAACTGAGGCACAGTGTTATATCATACTACCAGGAGTTACTGTCTGGGCTGGTAGCTTACTCAGCAGTAAGTTTTAAGCCTCTTTCAGAGTACACCTGTTTAGGCTTGGCACAGCAGTTGTATGCATGTACACTCAGGATCCCATCTCAGTTTTGAGGTCTCCACACCATGATAATATAATAATAGAGCACTTAATATTTTTTGTAAATAGGATGGTAAAGAGTTCTTAGGTACAACACCACGTCCCCTCCATCCCTATTTGCACCCGAGGTACCCAAGATGATATAGCTACTTTGTTTTTAACTTTATAATATAAGCACTAATACACTAACAGGAGGGGAATTGATCAGCAGTTTAACTGACATTGAAGGGTTAAATTTTGGCAGCTTGGCTAACAAAGATATTGCTTATTGACATTCCGTTCTTGTTACAGTAGTTTTTGAGTATTTAGTACTGAATTGTATCGTATTTGTTGCCTAACAGTCACATAATGATGGCAAGCAGATTTTCCCAGCATGTTAGCATTTCAAATGCAGAATAAATGCTCACGTTCTCACAGCTGCTGGCTAGCAAGGAGGCACTTTTCTTCTACTGTCTCTCTTTCATTTCTTTAAATGTACCTTAGAAATATGAAAAGCCTCACCAGACAGAAGAGGAGAGTGAGGAGGAAGAAGAAGACATAGAAGATGAAGAGGAAGACACAACCAGTGCTGAATCAGATGAAAGTGAAGAGGAGGAAGAGGAAGAGGAGGAGGAAGTCATTGTCCGAAAGACAGACAAACAGAATGCCAGCAGGCAAGAGCAGTTGGAGTGGGATGATTCAACACTCCGGTACTAAGCCCTCCAGCCACATTGCTCTTTTGTAACAACCAATACAATGTTTTTTCAGAGTCTATGAATTCTTTGATGAGATTTGAACTTCTGCTTGCATATAACTGTTTTGCCTAAAATGATCCTGTTGTAGTAATTGATAATGATAGAACTGACCCGTTTCTTACAAAGCGCAGAGAAAACATGGTACAAACATACTGGCATCACCAGTAATAAAGTAATCTAGAACTTGGTCTGTTAGCAAGCGTAGTTCTGAATTTCCTGTTTCTATACCGCAGATATGGGACAAATGTCCTGTCACTCAATCCATAGAGATTTTTGCCTGTGCTATTTTTTTCATACAGGAGAGATTTTAGCTTGTTACGAGGAATTATTTGTGTGGGTCCGAATAACAGTTGCCATTTGACTTCACACACTTACAGGTGTAAAAATATAATCCACCTTCAGACTGGGGCAGACTTTTAGTGCTACAGGTGACAGAGATCAAATTCCATTTTTCATCTCGTCCTGCCTTCTTGGATGTTAACTGTCTTCACAAGGGAATATTTAGGACTTGACATGGGATGCATGTGTGCCTGTGTAGAAGTGGACAGTATATCTTTTTCAGGCATGCTGCCAGAACCCTCAAGACAGGGATTTTATCCAGCACACCCATAGAAACTTAAGAGAGTTTTAAAAAAACAGCAACAACAAGGGGATACTGAAGGTTAAAAAAAAAAAAAAAAAAGATTGTTCTATGTCCACAGATTGAGTAATATCATTTTATGCAAACTGCAAATTCTAATGGGACTGATTTACTGAAAACCCGTAGAGCTGCTTATTATTTATGGATTGAGCAATTTGCAGCAAATCGATGCTTTAAACTGTCTGTCTTGTGAAATCATTAGCTTGCTGCAGTATCTCACTGAAGTAGTTGAAAATAAGTGATCCCATTATTCCATAGCTATGTATGGTTGGGATTCAAACAATGATTTTACATGAGGAAAATGTTCCCTTTTGCTTTAGTGAATGCCAGCTGGAATTCCTGTCTGACTGTATTCTGTATAATGTCATGCCCTATTTCTTCGGTACCCTTGCCCACGTACCAGTGGCACAAGAGAAAGTGGCAACATACACAACTGTCAGATCTCTTTTGTGCTCATAATTCTCCCTTACTTCTTTTTCGTGAAGCCATTAATGTTGAGAAAAGGTTTTTATAAGGTATAACAAGAAAGAACAAACCAAACCTACCTGGAACCAAAAGAAGTGAGGGGAAAAAAACAAACCAAACCAAAACTCCTAAGAGGTTGAGAGAGTATTTTAGTTTGGTAACACAGCATATTTTTCTTAAACACTGTTTAAAAAGGAAAAAAAAAAAAAACAAAAAAAAAAGAAAAAAGAAAAAAAAAGCCAAACTCCATATAATGTGTTGGTAAGTCTGTGTGGTGTGGTTTTTGTCCCCTTTCCTTAATTATCTTTGCATCTTAGAATACTCCACATACCAAATGATGCAGCACTTGCTAGGATAACTGCTCAAATGCATAAAAAAAAAACCCAAAACAGCATGGAAGTGAATGCTGCCTAGTGGCTTGTCTGCTTTTTTTTCTAAGTACATCCTTTATTCTTTACAATCTCGTCATTGACTTTTGCTTTTGTAATTTGCTGTTTAAAATGAGCTGCTTCCTCTTCTCCTCTCTCCCTATGAAACAAGCTCTCAGTCTTGCCACAACAGGACCTTCCTGAGCACCCATGAATGGCAGCTGATATTGCAAAGAAAGAGTAACCTGGGCGATCTTGAGAGTATCCATCTGCCTCGATACTTTATAGTAGCTCCTGAAAGTCTTGGAATATAGAGAATATATTGTGGGTTTGGGGGTTCCTTTAATTCCAGTTTCTGCATCTGA